GGGGGGGGGGGGGGGGGGGCGCTAGGCAGTGTTGAGGGTCCTTAAAATTAATACGTATCGGGCGAATATAAATCAGATAAATGCTACTTTTACAGAATAATTTTCTCTGTGAAAGCATATTATTCGTTGAAGAGCATCTTCAAAATATACCATTCCTCCACTATAATCCTACTTTTATATACTATTGAGAAGACATAAGCCACATGGTCTCTAATCCAAAGCATCAAACTATAAGCGGAATCATTTTCTGAACCTCAATAACATCCTTTCACTACTTAAACAATATCTACCGCGTCGTTGTAGTAGAATTCTAATAAAAAAGCAATGACAGAACCTCTTCCACAAATGATGCCGAACAGTAATTCTAAACACACTTGAAGATGTCTAACTTCTAAAAACAAAGATGGGCTATCTAGCTATCATATAACTAATAATTCTAAAGACCCCCGAAGACCCCCTAGTCCCCCATCCACAAAATAAAGGGGGTATATAGTTATTATACGAGGAATAATTCTAAAGATCCCCAAGGACCCTCTAGTCTCTCCATCGTTAAAAAAAAGGTATATATTTATTGTATGATGACTTATTCTAGAAGACCCCTAGTCCCTCCGCCTTTAAAAAAAGTGTGTATAGCCATTAAATGATGAATGAACCCAAAGCGAGTAGCGGCTCCTTTGTCTGTTATCTTTGTAGAAAGAAGGTTATTGCGTATGGTTAAACCTAGCGATATTTTTCTTAGACCCTCTATCCCCGCTCGTCAGAAAAGTTGGCAGTCTTTTTTTTTCAAAACTCAGTTTGAAATTAAAATCCCCATAGACTCAAGAAATCATGAATAGCCCCGTTCACTTGTACGATGAAAGAGAAAAGTTTCAGTTATAACATCATTTGTATCCGTGGGTGCTCAAACTGGGCAACTCGATCAAGAGTATGGGTGAGAAGTTCTCGTTCCCAGGAACGGTAACGGTCCGTTACCAGTTCCCAAAGAACGGGGTAACGGTCGTATTATAGGAAGATGTCCATACGAGAGCTTTTCCCTCTTATTACACCGAGAACTACTCCGAATGTTCCTAACGATCCTAGGGTTATCGGGGACGTTCTATCGATTAATGGGTATATGTAAGGGTCTCCACCCATCCCAACGCTCTAAATCCGCTAGACGCAAAAATCTCAAAAGATCAAAGGTCAAAGGTTAAAAAACATCCCTTCGTATTTGGGAAAGCCATTCCTCACTTATTGCTAGGGTGCGCCACTATAGTATCCATGAGAAAAGTATGAGAACGCGCGAATAGTAGGCTTTGAACACTCACGGATAACATTTATATGATCCTCTTTACTCCGTCCCCCGGTTACGGTAACGGGAACTTTCCACCCCTAGTTTTAACTTTCTATGATTTCATAGAACTCTTTCGTGATGCGGGCACTAGCTGCCAAACCCGGAAAAAGTTTTTTGATGTGAAACTTGAAACCTGAATTCAAATGTCAAATGCAGCAAGTTTCCCGCTTTCAAAGTTATTTTATTTTCATATTCTTCATTTTATATTTTACTAATTGTCAGTTGCTAAATTTTTATCGTTTGAAAGTTATACTTTCGACCAAATTTAGATTTCCTAGTTCAAAATTTGCAGCTTTCACAGAAAATCGTCGTTTTATATGACAAAATCGTAATATAAACTGATAATTGATCGACTGAATAGAATATGATCAACTTGATAATTGTTTTCATAATATTTGTAATATAGAAACTTTTTCGAAGTAAGTCGTTTAAATTAACAATGAGAATCATTGTTCAGTAAGATTTGACATTTTCCAATTTCTCATGTGATTATCTAATTTTTGACTCAATGATTAGTATCTATAGTCATATATCATTTAAAATGAAAAAGATTTTGTCATTATTAGACGATTCATTGTTAGGTATATTATTTCAATGAAATCGTTTTAGGGAGACATATCTTAGTCATTTTCAACTTACAACAAGTCAATTGTTCAACATGGTAATTAACATGAAGTAGTCATGTGATCCATAGATTTCGTCTGCTAGTTTCACATAGTGATAAGTATGTGACGTGGAGAACCTCAAGATTTACACTTGTTTGAACAGAAAGGCGATGAACAACGCAGAGAAACAGATCCGTAAAATGAAGATTAGATGTTTCCTCTAGTCAAATTGATTTAGAATATCATGTATCAGAAGTTGTGTGGTCTTTGTTCCATGAAGGGTTATTTTTTTCTTCGTCTTGTGTTCATTTCAAATCACTGCTCAATCGCTGCTATATGATTTATATGAGCTGAGAATTAAGGTAAAAGTATGAATACTTGTTTACTTCGAAACTTGTTTTAGATTATGAAAAGTTATCAAGGGATTTAGTTTCTCTGTATATTTTGGAAGCAGCACAGTTTGGTGATTGTTTGTTTTTTTCTAACCTTCTTCAATAAACTAGTTTAGATATGAGTTTGTATCTTTCTTATGGTTCTTTGTATTGAATTCTTATCAACTCAAAACTAAATAATTTTTCCAGTAGTATGAAGATTGAAATATGGATTTAATTATCTATTCCATATGATATTCGCACTTGAAGCGACACGCTTAAAGTTTGTTGTATATCTTGATCTTTCGTTATATCTTCACCTAGCTTCATTGTGTGTAATTTCTATCATTACCAAGTATTCCGTAATGGAAAATTTGAAATTCAACTTTTTAAATTTATTTATATTAAATTTAATAGTTAAACTCTTTGATTCTTTTAATAAAAAAGATTAACTAAACTATTAAGCTGGTACACAAATATATATATTATTTTAAAAAAAATTGTTTTAAACAGTTTTTCTGCACTTAATTTACTTTTCTCAAAATTCGAATATCAATCGATTTTTATATTGAAAATGTATGATACGACAAATAGTAGATGATAAGAGCAAGCTTCATGTTAGACAAATTACCACAGGTTCGAATAGATAGAAGCAATATGAGCACATTAGGGTAGCTAATGAAAAAAAAATTTCACTGACGAGTACGGAGTAGTCTAAAAAGTTAATGTACAGACCATGAATAACATGAGAAAACGTTAGTCGTGATTTGAAGTTTATCACACTATGAAATTCTTTGTTTCATATTCTTCGAGTATCAACGGTAATACTGTTTATGATTCGCTTTTATTTTTGTTGTAGATTTTTTTCAATTTCAATATAAACTTCATTAAAAAATGGAAAATTTAGATAATAATCAAAATATTGAAGTAGTACAAATAAAAAAGAGTTGGTCAAAATATCTCATTGATTATCTAAAAGATCTTAATTTTTATAAATCAAATTCAAATGATATTGAAACGATATATAAAGAACGATTATCAGCTCGTTTATTTATCTCTTTATTATTTATAATTATGATTTGTATAATTATCTATTCTTCGCTTTTATTACGTACAGTCAATATGACGGTTCGTAATCCTTCTGAAAAGAAATTTAAAGATATTTATGATAAATATCCTAATACTTTAACATGTCCTTGTTCTTATACAAGTCCACAATATAGTGAATTCGCTAATTTTCAAGTTACCGTCCATGAAGTTTGCAATAGTGTATTTATTTCACAACAATGGATTAATGAAATTTATAATGCCAATGTTTCATTTATTCCATCAAATGATGTTCGAACTGTATTGAGTAGTTTTTGGCAATTAGTTCGTTCATTTTGTGGTATAATAAATATGTCTCTTGATGATGCATTCAGTGAATTTGGTTCAAATAACTTATTGAGTCTTTCTGCACAATCTCAACAATTATTAGAAACAAAAGTAAAAGCAACTCTAGATTTCGTAATTAATTCAACAATAATAAATCTTAAAAAAAATCTAGCTATTACACGCGAAACAATTTCGATTAATGAACCAATATCAAGCTTAGCTACTAATTACTTCATATATATAAGTAGTGTAAAAGTAGGTGTGACTCCACCAATCGATATTGATATAAATGCAACATCTTTCCCGGATGGCTGTTCTTGCGAGAACCTTGATGGATGTCTACGTTCGGCTGTTATTTTTGAATCTGATCAAAGATCCAACTTCGAAAATGTATCAGGCATTATGTTCGATTGTTTACCATTAGATGCTGCACTTGCTTCATCATTTGAATGTTTCTATGATTCTTGGTGTTTATCATTAATTAGGAATGTGTCAAAGGCTAATATGAGACCAGAGCCACTTCATATTCAAAGCCGTTTTGAACATAACACTACTTTAAAGAAACTTTTAGATGAACTTATGATTGAACAAATAACAATGACAGTTAATTTTTCATCTTATTATTCTATTTGTAATCCAAAATATTGCACTTATTCATATATTCACAGATTCGATAAACTTTTCATCATTACATTTACAGCAAGTGCATTTGGTGGTATATCGGCCGTATTAAAATTCATAGCACCATTTTTGATTAAATTAGCATATTGGATATATTCATTAAAAAGCAGAAATGGTCCACGTACTGATTTCAATAAAAATCAATCCACCAATCTAAGTCTAAGTAAGTTCTTTAATTTTTCTAGGAAACTCCTTGGTTGTACATGTGATTTATGCTTAAGTATCGACTGATTCGAATTTGGATTTTTATATGCACTTCAAAAATTAATCCCAAAGAGACCTACGAACTGACTACATTTACCATAAAAATTTCTTTTTTTTTCAATAATGAAATTCTTTTGACAAATCTGTAACATGTCCGTCCACGATAACAACAGTTATAGTTATATAACAGATGATATGTGTCTACTTAGGTGTAAACTATGATGTAATTTTTATTCGAATAAGTCTGTCTCTAAAACAGAGTTCTAAAATCTTCCAATGATCATTTGTAGTACACGAAAATCTGTCAAGAATGTTAAAGGACTAAATCATGTAAACTTTTACAGTCATCGTGTTATAGTTCAACGAAAATGTTTTTGATAGTAGTTTTAGAAAAGAAGTGCTAATAGGTTGGTTAATGCTTTCAAGAGATTAAAATAATTGGAGCGTATAGAAAAACTTTTGCCTGATACACTGTAGCATACTGTGAAGATCTCTTGTCTAGTGTGGTTGCATCAATCGAAAAAAGTTCTCTAAAACATTTAAGAAAAAATTGATGAGAAAGAATTAAGATGGTAATTCAATAGATTACAAATTTTGATAATTATTATTCACATAATATTTTAGAAATAAAATACCAACACCAAATTATTGACTTTCATTACAATTTTATTGAGTGAACGGTGTTTAATATTTTGTATAGGCTACAAAGTTCCGAATAGGTTGGGGGCAAATTCAGCTTAGTCCGGCCCAGTCCGTTCTATAGACCGAAGCCTGAATACGACACAGTAGATTTAGAAAAAAAAATATCGGGCATTTTCGGAAAATTTGGTGAAATCATCCAAAAAGAGATTACAGATAAAAGTCAAATTCTTTAAATTTCACTCCTTCTTGTTTAGACTCGAAGATGTCTTCTATTTCTCGGACCTCCAGTACATAGGAAGTCTGCAGAAAAGTTCACTTGTTAAAAATATGTTGGAGGCCAATCGAAGACCAAGATCAATACCATAGAGACATAGAAGAACCTTGGCTGGACGCTAAAATACTTCAATTTCAGTTCTCACTCCAACCCATATCAAATGAGAATTTCTCAAAATTGAAGACTGACCTTATGCAATGACTGAACGTAAAACTGTCGTAAAGAAAAATATTAAAAAAATAGTATTGATGTGAAAAATAGCCTTCAAGTGTTTAAGAGAGTTATGAATAGTAAAGAACATGTTTTCTTATATATGTTAGTGTTAACATTCTGATAGTGATTTAAAGCAGATAATAAGAATTGTTGACCATGTATTACTTTTTGGATTAGTCACCGTCAATGATAGGCTTTCTAAGTATTCCGTAGATTTATAGCACCATCATAACAACATTCACCAAAATCATCAATAGGACGTTTGATAGCAATTGTTCTAATCCGTTTCGGTCTAGCTCCTAAACCTCCATTGAATTTAATATTCCTGTGGTAGAAACAATTCCATTTGCCCTGAAAGAATCTAGTAAATGACTAACTATTTGGATGATTGACTTGTACTTGACAATGAAAATGACTATGAAATACTTCATGAAACATAACAAAATGAAACTTTTCGCCAAATAAAATAAAGAAAACTTACCTTTAGCATTTTTATTTGTTCTCATACTTTGATTGTGTAGACCTCATTTGGATACAGGAACTTTTAAAAACTGTTGCTCTTGAAAACATTCTAATAAATTATTTAGTATGTTCTTCAATTATTTTGACTTTGTTACAGTCATTCCATAATAAATATCTTCGATTCTTATATCAGCAAACAATGAAAAATATATCAATTTTCAACATAAGTCTTTAATACCGTCACCATCGTTATATATTGTTGTTAAACCAACACTAGACTAGTCATATTATAAAAAAAAGTAACAACCAGCGAAACGTGATTAGAGTCATCATTTACTGAAGACATCGTTTCTTCCATCTTTGATCCTTCCGCTGTTCTTCTACTTCAGTACTGGTTTTCGACATTTTTATCTCTTGACATTTTTCTTTTTGATATTTTTACGGCACACCAATGCAATTATTTTGTCTCTTTGCTCAACAGCTAAATAGGAAAAGTTTAAGAAATTGATACGCAGACATTTTCAAAAATAAACCACCTGCTAAAATCTTCTTGGCACTGGAATTTCATTTGATATTTTATGGACAGACAATAATAAAAATATAAAGCATCTTCTTATCGTAAAATGCTCGATAAATTTTAGCGGTAAACTACGGTATTTGTCAAAATCATTGGTTTATCGCGGCATTTTGTAGTTAATCGGAACCGATAATTCGAACGGTAAAACTGCGCTAAGCTTCTAATGAGCGGTCCATATAGTATAATGTTCAGTTGTTTGATCACCATATTTGTATTCAATTGGTTTCATTAGAAGATGCTGTTTTTAATGAGCCAAACTTCAAAGCGGACCTAGAAACGAATGACAGCAAATATTTCTAGTATCTCCCGCAACATCCAAAATCTGTCAACCTTTGTATTTCTTTCTCTCTCTATGAAGTTTTCAGGACTTCTCTACACCAATTCCTTACATGGTAGACGTTTAAATACAACTTTTTTGGAGAAATAGAATTAATGCATTGGTACGTTATAATTTTTAGCAATAAACAACGAGCAAAGTACGAGCAACGGATAAATTAATGTTATAGGTGGCTCATAAGCTAGATCGTTTTTAAGAAAAAAGTCATCGATGAGTCAGATCAAGATGTGAGTAACTTACGGACTGACTTTCTTGAGCTCCCACCCAGCCCTTTCGGAGTTCTGATAGAGAAAACTTATAAAGATGAAACAGTAACGGTGAATACTAGAATCAACGCCACAGATACACAGTGCATCGACTGCATGAAGAATCCATGACACTAGTGTATAGATCAATTTTTTATAATTCTCTGTTTCAACAATAAGTAACAGACATCTATGAAATATACATTTATATTTTTGTTTAACAGGATCCCATTAAAAAGCACAATGATTTTCGCAAACATTCATTGAGATCGGACTTACTTTAGAACTTCGAGTCAGTGATAGTCTATAAAGAAGTATATGCTGATGGTCAGTATGTGGAATAAGTCAATGTCGCGAGCTGTCAGTAATACACATAATAGTAGTGATCAATTATCACTGTAAATTTTCTGTATTCGAACCGACGTTATTGATTTTAGCCATGAGAATAAAGTTCTTCAAGTTATCCAAGATTGTTGAAACAGATGAAACATGTTTTTAACGCAGAAACGTATTGATCATATGGTAGAGTTACAATCATTTAAGATGTTACATACAATCACTTGTTACCTTAATGATCAAGTTGCCCTGGCATGAGAGAAACTTTTGTAGTATCAGACTAGATGAAACATTTTCATGATTAGACTTGCGTAGACCCGCAGTATATCTTTTGGATTTTAAACACATTAGAATGAATTGTAATTAGACATAACTTAATTAAAGTATCTTCAATCATAGCACTTCATAACTGACATTTATAGTGTATCGTACATCTTGGAATATTGAATCAGTATTACAGAAAATTCTCGAACTAGCAAAATTGAAAAATTAATGACGTTTAGTTACCGTTGTAAATCTGCAAACACCCGCAAATTTTTAGTCAAAACTATAAAGTTCTTGAATGTGTCTCAAATCTAGTTTAAACATCCTTGATTAAATCGTAATAACAAAGTTTGAAAAATAGTTCTCACATACTCTTAATATTTGTGTCATTCACTTTAAAAGAATTAAAACCACTGATATATTTCGTAAATATAGAAAATCAATCTCTTCAACTATTTCTCCTTTCCTAGCTTTTAATTTATTTATAGAGTATAACTTAGTAATTTTAACTTAAATAGAATAAATGTTCTATCTAGTCATAATGTTTTTCTTCCGAATGATTTATTTATTCTCTTGTTTTAGTATTTTTCATCAAAACAAGACGATTCAGTCATATTTTGGCAATTAAAAATTTCTTGAAGGAACTAAATTTATTTAAAAGCTCATCTCAAAACTCAAATGCTATACCAAAACAACGTTATACAACTCGTCTCTTTCTTGCGTGTATCATAATTAGCATAATTATATACAGTTTTTATATAAGTATCACAAGTCAAACAAAAGCAATTATTATAACTAATCCAACTCAAAATGAATATGAACAACTTTGGAATATGCATTCAGATACTCTTTATTGTCTATGTTCTCAAGCTGCAATTCCATATTCTAATTTTATTCAAATTGTACCTCAATTTCATCAATTATGTTCGAGTATGTTTATTTCTCCAGAATGGTTTCATGTGTCCATAAGTTCTCAAACCACTTCTGATTTTAATAGTATCGAAGTCGCCAGTCTATTCGGTACACATTATTTCAAAGGTCTCGCTGTATTTTGTTCCATAGCAGAGCAAGTTGTAACTAATTCATATCGACTTTTTTCTGTCAAAACTTTCATTACGGACCGTTTATTGTCCAGATATATCTTTGATAATGAAGTGAAAGTTCTTATTGATACATTTAACAAATCAACATTTTCTGAATTTTTTCGTACTTTTTCACTTACTCGACTGACAATAGAAACTAACTCATTTATTAGTAGAATAGCAGCAAAATCAACATTCAGAGTAGACAACGAATATAAAATACGGACAATACCAGCTACGCTAGTGAATAACCAGGGACCTTATCTTGGTAGAAGAACTTGCAATTGCTTAACTCCAACAGATTTCTGTTACCGGAATGTATATGCTTACAGTTCTATGAACACATCCAACATGATTCAGATTGACAGTCTATTCGTTAAATGTGTCTCAACTGAGTCGACATTGTTCTCAACATTAGAATGTTGGTACAACCGTTCTTGCTTGGAAATTGTACGAATGAATTTTATCAGAAAGGGTGTCACCAATATGACTGATATTAATCCCCTTGACGAAAATCTTCCAAGTAAATTTGCTATAAGTGGTAAAATTGAAGTATTGACAAATGCACTTCTACTCGAAAATTTTATTATTAATATTTCTTACAATCGATATTACGATCAATGTGCTCCATCAACTTGCATTTATACTACTGAAGAATCTTTCGATTTGGTTTTTCTGAGTACCAGTATTCTAGCCATTTACAGTGTTTTGAATAAAATATATCGACTAATCTTACCATTAATTGTTGGATTGTCTTTGATAATTTGGAAAAGAATTCGAAAACAGAATTCTTCTACGAACAAATCGACACCCATTGTGGAAGATACAACAAGAAACAGTAAGTCAAATAAATTGATTTTATTTATTGAACTCTACAGAATAGTGTTTTTGATGATGTATGATAATTGGTTTTGCTATATTCTTTATTATTTGTATCCATCAAAATACTTCTACTGACTAGTCTTCTGTTTGCCAAGTGGTCTTTTTGAATTATTGAGAATTGCAGAACGCATAAAGTTGAATGAAAATTTGAAAAGTATATGACAAATATTTAGAATCGATAATTAGAAAAATTAATCAATTGAAAATAAAATTGTACTTAAAATGTATCGGCATATATCTTTGATAATAGCATTTGTTTCATACAGTATAAATATAATATTTTTCGAAAATATCATGCAACCACCCTCCTACTGTAGGTATAAAGTATGTATATGGTTGTCAACGTTGTATAGAGCACCCGTTTTTAGGATTATAGATAGTTCTGAACTTGATTTCTACATTGTCTTTTAAGAAAAAGAAGATATTTTTCACAAGCGAGTCTGACTTTTCTCAGTGATACCGGATTTTCAGCATTGAGTATTTTGAAAACTTTTATTTGAAAAGAATTTACTATGGAACCTTCCTTGGTGTCTTCACTTCGAACTTCAATGCATTTTCATTTATAGCTATCACAGCGCGCTGTTTTAGATCCTAAAAAAATTTGAACTTTTGCCATTTTCTCAAAAGTGACATGAAATTTAATTTCGCCCTTACATGACATTACATGTGATATAGAAGATCGTCACTTCTCACTTTTGGACACAAAGAACAAGAGAAATGTAACTACCTTTATACAAAACGATGGACAACGAAATTCTTTATTTTGTAGGTCTTGTATGAGGATGAAAAGCAGAGCTTACATTATTATCAAGCCTGGAAAAAAATTCACGAGATAATTATTTTTTTGTACTATAATTATTTTCACTCGTGGTATTAATATTTGAGTAATATTTAAACATGTTTTATACACAGATCGATCGAGAATTTCAAGTTTGACAACTTCTCTATGGATCCCATCAACGAATTTCGCTTCTTGAAAAAACATAAAGATCATTTTCTATCCGTCCACAGGAAAGACTCACTATGCAACAATATGTGTTCGCCTGGAAAACATGTATCAAACTTCGATCTCTAAGTCTCAGACAAAATGTCCATAAGACTCAAACTGAAATCTATAATGTGAGATTGTTTCCCTTCGTTTATGCTAAAATTGACTGAAAATCTGGCTTTATGTTTACTTTAGATATTAAAACATCTAGACATGATCGGATGATCTCATTATTTTGGTGATCTCTTTAAGACAGATTGACCGTTTCTTCAGGGCCACATCTGAAACGATAGACCCCTTGGCGTATTACGAAATCACCATGTCGGATCGATTTATACAGACTGTCGAGATTTGCCAGAGATCTAATAAATGTTAAAGTTCACAGATAAGGTAGTATAAACTAACAAATATGTAGAATATAGCATCTCTTCAAACGACTTTCAGTAATGAAAGATAAAATTTATCATTTAAAAGAAAAGGGTTTAGGAACCATGAGCACGAGGAAACTAGAGCACATGTCTCGATCTTGAGTTTCAATAAAAATAAAACCCTTTCAACGGTGTCAACACTCATACCCACCTGCGTCCACATCCACAGTGTTCCTTAGTATAACGCTATAAGCCAGCGCTCAAAACAAGGCCGTATTCAAGCTTCCTCGTGCTTACCGTTCCGGTTTCCTAAAAAAAAGATAATTTTCTTTCAAAAGAAACAAATATAAACGAGAGATCTTGGCTTTAACATTTGATAATAAGGTGTGGGCGTAGAAGCAGAAAGGTACATATACGCCACCCGCTACGCTGACACTCATGCCTCACACCCAACCGGCGTCCGAATCGGAATGGAAAAAAACAATTCTTTCGGATTCAGGATCGAGATTTTTGGGAAAACTTTTTTTTCAAAACCAGAACGCTTCTTTTTCTGATTCTACCCGATGATTCATAAATACCTTTACGATAAAAAATCTAAATGTCTTTACTACCTTCTGAGCAATGGAAGTCGATACTTTTTTCTGTGATACAGGAGACTTCAGAGCTTTTTTCTATGCGAACAGCATTTATAAATGTCACTTTCAAGCATTATCACTGAAGTATATGGTGAATTTGTATTTTTTAGGATGTTTAAGTTAGTCTCTCACAAATTCATGTATTCTCCATTCATTGTTCAACGAACGTTTATAATTTAGTGTTTGGTCTTGTAAACTGTAATTGTTTGTATCTTAGCCTTTTAACATTTACACATTACAGAATGAAACACTAGATCATATACACTCATTGAAGAATGAATGGAGCGTATATTCATTTGCTAGGCACTAACTTTGACGCCCTAAAAGATAACAATTCAACATTGAAGCCAATGATGATACTTGAAAGCAATATTTATAAATGCTGTTCGTATAGAAAGAAACTCTGAAGTATCTTCTATTACAGAAAAAATATTAGCGTTCACTATTCAAGAAGTAGTGAAAGTATTCAAATCTTCTATAGTAAAGCTACTTATGGACCACCATGTATTGAGAAATTCTTCTCGTGATAACAGTTTAGTGACCACTGTTAAACATTTTGATAAGAAATGAAAACTTAAAACTCTTTAAAATTTTTTTGTTTAAGTTTAATGAATCTATTTTATCTTTTACAGCGCAGTTCAACAAAATTTATATTTTGATAGTAGAATGACTTTAAATTATTTAACATATTCGTACACGTAAGTTGTTACTGATTTGCGACAGAAAGATTTTCGATATTTTTGTCCGGAGGTAAAATTGGAATATTCTAAATCAAGGTTTTGAAATCGGAGCTGCAATTAAAAGCATCTTACAAAAACATTTCGGAGTCGGAATCGAAACTGAAAAGTGTGACTCTGCAGGTATCTACCATCATTGCAACTCTGATTCTTTAGAAAAAGTTAATTTCACTTTAGCATAGCTGTGAATTTATTCGTGTTCATTTTCGTCGTCTGATTTTATTAGATAAACCAGAAAAACAACAAAAAGTGAATCGTTGTTCTGAATCCAACCGCGCATTTTATGCTATAATAAAATTTTCTGTTTAAACTTCATATAACATGAATGCTACAAATGTCTTACAAACTACTTGAATAAAACAGTTTAGTAGTGGAAACAAAAAGTTTTATTCTAATCTAGATATTTTGTTACGCCACCTCTGCCCTTCTCGAAGATTCCTTGCCCTTAGTCCACTCTCTACTACCATAAAGGGTCGGCTAGAGTAACCCTAGTGTAGACTAATTTGGAAATAATTTTATTCGAGACTTTCTTATGTTTTGTCTGGTTATCCAAAGTAAACTAAATCGAAATTTTCTTTTTTATTTCGATCTCTACTATCTATTGTTTCATTTAAGAATCTGTCGAAACTAAGATTCTCCCTCTTGGTTATAGACGTACGTCAAGCTCAAAATACCATAGATTTGGTTCGATCATTTCCGGGTTTCGTCATTCATTTATTTGAGCTAGAACAAATAATATTTAGTTGTACACAAAACATTCACACAGACAATTAAAAATTTTAAAAAAGGTGTATCGTTTCGTGTTGAGTTCAAAATGATTGGCTTTCATTCATAAAAAAAAACCATGTCATGGATATAAAACCTTTCTAATTACTTGGGTGACTATTCCTTGTACGATTAACATTCTTTTCAATTCAGCTAAGTAACTGATCAGACTTATGAATAATCGAACCATAAGATTCCTCCGTTTGCTCTTCAGTTTAATGTATATCTATTCGCTTAGTATCAGCCTTGGCATTGATGAACAGACAAATAACAAGGCAGTAGATTATCTATCAAAAACTGCGATTTTTTTCTCAATCAAGAACCTTAAGAGAGTACTTACCAAGAATAATGAACATATTTTTTTCGTTAAAAATCGCTACTTTTCATATCTATTAATATCTAAGATTTCTTCATAAAGATGAGAATCTCAAGAACTTCAACAGAATTTAATTGAGAATTTCTTTTCTTGACTTCATCTAGTCATATAACTATTAGGATAGATCGATTATTAAAAACGGCAGAGTATATTCTCATTCTGCCTCACTCAAAATACTAGAAAAAAAAGTGAAGTTTGACTAATACATACTGTCAATATTGACCTCGACACGTTCTTAATCTCGTCCTTTCATAATTCGCTCAATTCTTTTCTAGCTTCGAATACTTCAAGAATAATTCGAATCCGAGAATATGTGTCAAAATTCAATATTTTTCAAAATGAATTAAGTACAAATAATACTCAACGACAAGAGACTCTATCAACACGTCTGTTTATTACTTTGGTAATTGGTTTTACAATTATTCTTTTTCTTTATACTGGATTAGTTGAACAAACAACTACCATAACAATTTCAAATCCTTCTCTGTTAACTTATACAAGTCTTAAAGAATCTTATTTTGATACACTGGAGTGTCCTTGTTCTCATTTATCTATACCTTACAATGAATTTATTATATTTATGAATGCAACATTTCATCCTATTTGCGCCAAGAAGAACTTCACAAGCATATGGTTTCAATATTTTTCTCGGTACCAACAAACTTCGGTATGGTGGCTTCAGACCGATGATTTCCGGCTTTGGTCTATTCTATTCTTTAATTTTTTACAAAAATATTGTGAACTAGCAATCTCAACTGTCTTTAATGCTATGGAACAATTTAATTTAGAATTATTTGTTTCATCTGAAGTAATGTCTCCTATTCTATTTGAGACTCAAATACACACAACAATACAATTATTTCAAAAGTCAACTGCAATATTATTTTTTAGTCAACTGCAAATGTTTCGTGGAATTACTGAAGGAAACGGTTTTATATCAACTGTGGGAATCAACATGAAATTTCAAGTAGATCAAATTGCTCTCAATGCTCCTATTCTTTTTATACCAAAAACTTATAGTAATGGAGCTTGTTCATGTGGAACTTCAATTAATTGTGTAGAATTGGCAAGTTTCTACAATCTCACTCATCATACAGTTTACACTGTCGAAAATATCTATACTGGATGTTATCTACTTGAATCGATTCTTCATTCATCACTCACTTGTTTTTTCTCCAATTTATGTATGATTGACTTGATGCAAGCGACGAATCTTGGAAATCCAAGTTCACAGGGGTTAGGATATGTCATTGATATTCCACCACTTGAGTTTTCATCAGCAGATTCAAACTTTAAAATCAATGATACAATCGAAACAATTGCCTCTCAGTTATTCATTGATTTCTGGTCTAGCGAAATATCTTATGAACGATATTATAATGCATGTGAACCAACACATTGTACTTATTTATATGCAGGACGCTTCGATGTTCTTTATGCATTAACAGTCTTCTTGTCTGTTATCAATGGACTTTCAGTTGGACTTCGTTCTATTGTTCCAACTATGGTTCAATTAGCATACAAGCTACGAAATCGTCTCTGCAGTTAATTACTCTAAAAGATAGACACAGTCGTTCAAAACTTGAATGTATATTTATTTAAACGATTACAGAACACAAATGCATAAAACTGTCGTTTTTATATAACTATGATTACTTGACGATAAAATTATTTTATGAGAGGAAAGGCTTCAATAAATTACTCATCTGTTTATAAACCAGAACTATTGATGATAATCATTGAACTTAGTTTACTGAGGTATTATGTAATAATTAATTAGTGCCTGAACCATATTTTGAGAGGATTGGTGAGAGGATTAACTTAGATTGCCAGAGAATAGATTATTGTTTTGATCTAGTTGCCTGAACTGAAATTTCTAGTGAAATCGTACTTCAAATCCAAAAGATTAGACCATTTTATTTGACGTAATGAAAATGGGTGTGGGTGTGGGTGTGTATCATG